GGACATCAGGCATATGCTGGCTAAATAGGCAAGGTGTGACGGGGCCCTAATCAGCTGAAATAGGTTTCCTGTATAGAGTGGCTGGAAACCACCTCAGAAAAAGGGTGAGGGGCTCTGTTATTTGTCCAGTATTTATCTTGAAATGAATAAACACTTGAAATCCTCCGGTTGGTGCTGAGCTCTAATTGTCTGACTATCAATTTATTGTTTTTAGTTATATTTTTCAGGACAGCTCCAGACTTTTGCTCAATATGGTGTATATTACCGCATGATCATATTTCACAGAAGCTTGTGAGCTGACTTTAAGTAGCCCCCCAGAGGGATTCCTCCCTCCCTGCTAGCCTACCTCCCTCCAGGCTCGCTGGACTGTGTTGACTGCAGCATCCAGAAGGGAGAGTAATTCCTCCCCTGGGGGCATTTTGCACACATTATCTTTGACAGGTTCATTACAGATAAGCAATGTAGATCATGCCGAGGCCATCAGCCCAAAGCGCTAAAGCTGTAAAACATACAAGAAAAGGAAGCAGAGAGCAGAGGGTCGAGTTGGTTGATGGATAGAAAAAAATGCAGCAGAGGAAGTTTTAATGTATCTCGGCAGCCGTGAATCAGAAAACTTACAAAGCAGAGATGGAGCCTGATAAGTCAACGCATCAGCTGTGTACAGACTGCTTCTGTGTTTTTATGGCGTCTTAAGCTCTGTGCTACTTTAGGGTGCTTTGCAAACTCTTGGGTTACGCTTTAAGCTGAGCTAAATGCGATGGTGAGTAGAGGAGAGATGAGTTTGACAAACATGGGAGGAGAAAAACCCCGAGGTTTTAATATGACATGAGAAAAGTTGCTGCAGCGGCTTTGATAGCATCACACAATTACACTGAGCGACTGCCATGTAATCCAGAAAGATAGAGCAGCTTAACCTTTTAAGAGGGAGTTAGAACTTTGTCAAATGTCAGGAAAGAAAATATCATCAACCCTACCCTCATCCTCCCGTTGCGGATGGCCGGTCCGTCCTCCGCCAGCCGCAGGACAAACAGGTCCATCTTGTACTCCCGCCCCCCTCGGATGCTGAAACCGAAGCCCTTCACACTTTTCTCCAGCTCCACCGTGAAGTAATCAAAGTCCTGCGTGAGCTGAAACAAACCCCCATCAGACAAAGTTAGATTCAGGTGAATGCTTGCATCAAGATGTCGTGAATTAGATGATCACAGCAGAAATGGTCTCAGGACTTTGGGAGTGATAGCTGAGATCAGTGTGATGCAAAGTCTGTGACTTGATACTGCCTACTTCATATCGTTAAATAGACTTTATGCATGTAGTGAACTCTGCTTCCTTAAAAAAAAGGGTAAAAAACAATAAATGAGGAGTAATATATTCACACTAAGTTTTTGGACGAAGAGCAAAATATTTTTAATGAGAGTTAAAGTTTTTTAACCTACTTGGACACTTGTTTCAGAAGGCATTCCCTTAAAGGAATAGTACACCCAAAACATGATTAGCCTTCATTTTCTACTCACCCCCATGCTGAA